GGTTGCATTTGATCTGCACAGACTGACACGTGGCCCAATCCCTAGACTGCAAAGACTTAAATTCCCAGATTCAGGTATGACCAAGATTGAATGTGGCCAACCCTCTGGACTAGAACTGGATAAGCCCCTGGTTTGATTGTGGCAGTACCCCCTGACTGATTGTAGTCCTCCTTGACCCTATTAAAGATGCTTCCCTTTGATTTTCAGGCATGGCCATTTGATTAAATGCGCACAGTGTTTGCCATGTAAACTGCTAGTGCATGCTACAGATGTGATGTAGTATGGTACTGTACAGTGACATGTTTACCCACTTGACTGTTCAGTGCTTCAAACCATGGAAAGTTGGCTGCTTCCCTTTCTGCATTAAAATGCGATGCAAGCCACAGAAGTTGACGGCCTTCAAGTAAGCACAAAGTAAGTGAGCATGAAGAAATGAAGCTAGGAGTCGTTAGATGGATCCTACGTAGATGAACGATGCATAGATGTCATAGAAGTTGACAGCACAGAAAAAAAGCACTTCAGCCCATTGAGCCTGCACCGGTCAAAAACCACCACTTATTCTAATCCTATTTTCCAGCACTTGGCCTTGTATGACTTGTCATTAAAAGTGCACATCTAAATATGCAGCATAGCAGTCTCCAAGTGTAGCGATCTTGTCCCTGTGCGGAAGTCTTCTTCGGCATCATCTTCCAGGTAATCCAACGGTCCGGCAGGTAGTCTCGTCCAGGAATGGCGATCTCGGCCTGGCCTGGTGATGTTCTTTGGCGGAGGCTTCTGGCCCAGTATTCCATTGGCTCAGGATGGTGGTTTCATCCTGGCTGCGCCTTCCAGATATTCTGTCATTCCTCAATCACTTTCACCTGAGCCCAGGAGCCGTTAACCAAACTGCAATGAACTTTGTCTTAATTTTACTTTTTTAAAAATTACGTATGACTTCTGTCATTAATATAGATGCCATGGTAAGGTGGCTTATAAAACTATTCACAGAATTTTTTTATGTAAAATACACATGACAATAAATTTCTATTCTATTCAGTTACGAAGGTTTCTGCTTCTACCACTATTACAGTCAGTGAACAGCACTGAGTGTCAAGTGACCTGGCAGAAGCATGCGAGATGTAGGTGTTCCCAAGCTCAAGGGTCAAGCCATGAAGGGCTAATATGATGAGAGAGTTGGTCCAAGAGCAGACACGTTCACTAAGTCATATGGCATGGAGACAGGCCCTTTGTCCAACTCATTCATGCTGGCCAGGTTTTCTAAACTGAACTAGTCCTGCATTTGGCCTGCTAAACCTTTCTTATCCATGTACCTGTCCAAACGTCTTTTACATATTGTAATTGTACTCGCCTCTACCAACTCCTCTGGCAACTCATTCCATGTACACACCACCATCTGTGTGAAAAAGTTGCCCCTCAAGTCCCTGATGTGGTGATTTGTCAATACTCCATGGATGAAGGGCAAAGGAGGACATTGGTCCATGTAATATGTAGGGACATCACGGATAGAAATGGATGAAGGCCTGGAGAAGCAAAAGCCCAGTACCTGCCAGCAGGAACCACTCTTACATTCAAATGAAATGTTTTCTTTAATCTTGGCTGGTTGTTGATGGAATTCTTCGTATTGTAGCTTCATTGCTGATAAAAAAAATCATTATAGTTAAGTTACAGAATCATAAGAGTCCCTACAATGCAGATAGAGGCTATTCAGCTGATCAAGTCTGCACTGATCTCCAATGAGCATCCCACTAACCCCCCCCACCCCACCCTATTTCCTGTAACCCTGCATTTACAATGACTAATCCACAATTAGAATGTCTGATGCATTTTGCATCCAGCCTTGTAATGGAATGAAATAAAATGTTAAAAACAGTGAAGGCTTGATTATGGTGTTGCAACTTGTTCCTGGAATGTTAACCCAGAAAAACATTCACAAAAGAATTTCAGAATTCTGAACAGCACCACCTCAGACTGTATGAACTCTAAGAATAATATTCAATGAGCTGTTATGAATTAAAACTACCATAACTTACATACTGTTAAAATTGAGAAGGAACCTTGATACCATCAATCCAGATCTGAATCCAGGCACCACAGATGAAAATTCATGATGTTAATTCACTTTATAACACAGTTCCCAACAGTACTAACATAATTCAAGTAACAGTTCATACCAAAGAATAATTCTTAGAAAAAATAGAAATTCTGTATAGTATCTGGAAATATCATTTAATGTACACATTCATAGTAAAGAAAGTCTCCAAATTCAAAGTATTGTTTTTTATTTAAAATACTTTAAAATACAGAAATGTCATTTTAATAGTTTTCAAATAAAAGTTTACGTAACTAAAATATTCTCTGAGTAAAAATAGCTGTGTATGACAAGTGACTAAAATTTTACATTTGTGCTTTCTCATCCAACACATCCTTCAAATCCACCTTTCGAATTACATGGAATAAATTGCTTTTATTTGTTTGTCAAATAAATAAATTGCTGTGAATTCAAGAACAACAATGAAAAACACTCCCATCAGTAATTTCAGGGTATTTGAAAACAAATTCAATGCTCCATGATGCAAAGCCCTAAAATGCAACTAAGTTTCTTTAGTTTGCCAACAGTTGTAGCAGCAGACTCTGCTGGTTGCAAATTAGGCGGCATGATTTTCCTCTTTCTCAGTTATCTATTATCGGTTATGGTAAAATTAATAATCCTGATAACAGCATACAAGTATTCACTCAACACTGTTCTAGAATATTTTAAAATTACAGTAAATATTTTTTAGTATGTGATAAGAAGCATAAGAAGTACCTTGCATTTTTTCAAACCAAAGCTGGATAATAAACTAATTTGATCTCTGAATGCCAGTTATAGCCAGTAAAATATCTCTACACTTCACTTTAAAATTCACAATTACATTGCATATCATTACTCAGATACAATTTCAAAATGTCTTAGTTACAAACTTAATCATGTTTGATAGAAATAAAAAATAAATTGAACATTTAGTTTTGTTTCCATTGACTAAGTGTCATCCAAAATGCGGCTCAGGTTACATGCAGACAAGTCTTAAGTGTTACCTTGAACAGACAAATTCAACACACCAAAATGAAATGGTTTACACAGTTATTAAATAATAATGTTGCACAATAGATAAACCTATTAATATTGATTATGACTAACTTGTTTTACAAAATACTATAAGAACACATTTGGAGTTATCCAGTTCAATAATTTGCACTGCAGGAATATGTCCACTGAATTACTGTACAAAAAGTGTAAGCAGGACACCTCAAAATATTCTGACATTAGGCAACTACAAGTATGTCACATATTTAATTACATGTTCATATTCACTTTTAGGACTGTAGCACCCTAGGATGTGACTAGGCTGAATCCCTCAGCTTTGTTGAATATCCAGAAATAAACACGTAAAGCAATTTTTTTTCTCGTTTAGCTTTTACAGATTTCAATTTACAGTAACTCATGAAAAATTTTCAAATGTGCTGAATGATAATAGCTTGAAGCTGCCAACATCTCTCGCTGCATGATATAACTCTTTAGAAAAAACGCAATTCAGAACATTATCCATAATTTAAAAATGAAAACTAAGCAAATTGTTGATAGTTTGGCAGGAAGTATGAAGAGAATCTGGCTCAATGTAATCATTGGGGATTTAGAACATACTGAGAAAATGCTGATTCAACAGAACCATCAACACCAACAGCAGGATGAAGTCCCATGTCATTTTGCCAAGTTTCCATACAATACAAGAAATCCAGAAATACTATTGCTCTTCCTTCCCTCACAAACCAGTGGAGACACTGATATTCACAATGGGCTGCCTTTTACTGGCTGTTCTATATATCATAAATAATTTGGCAAATAATTTTGCCAGATAATTTGCACAATCATTTCTGTTGGCTCATGCAGACAATATTCCTAAACAGAGGGGCTATCTAATATTCCCATAAATGCACACCAGTTCTAGAAGAAATTCATATATTCTTAACCCTTATCAAATTTTTGTATATATGAAATATTTCTATAAATAAAATACTTGCATTTAATGAATCCCTCTTAGAAACATAACAAAATACTCCACATTGGATTAATAACATTGAAACATTACTGTTATGTGACTAAATACAGAGCTATATTGCACTTACCAAGGTCCCACAAATAACAATGAAATGAACGACAAGTTATGGTGGTATTGGTTAGAATATTCTGTACTAATAACTAGGAATCTTTTAGATTACCATTTATTTAATATATAAAGGGTTTTGTGGTAACAAATTAGAAATTAATGCATCTCGTACAAATTTATTTAAAATAAAGGTCATTTCACTAATATATCCTTTTAAAAAATGGATAAAATAATTAATATTTTCTTGAGCACACTGCTTATTGAATATTGGTTGTCTAGAATGAAGGATTGGAAGTTATTTATTGAATAGATATATCCTTAATCAGATAAGTCAGCAGTTTTGTTCATATCAATTTTCTCATACTAATTGTTGTGTTCTTTATGATTTCATCAGCACTTATAATTCAAATCAACGATATATATAAAATCACTGTAACAGATTAAATATTATCTGTACATACACCGCACATAAACTTATCACGTAACTAGTTTTCTCTCAGTGGTGGAACTGCTGCAGCCCAGTTGGTAGAAGGAATGTAACTACAACAAGTGAAAATGGAAAATTTCCATTACAAATGTGTAAATAAGAATTAACAATAGCACAGTAATATAAAAGACAAAATGTATTATTTTAAAATGGGATCAGAGATAGTAGGAACTGCAGATGCTGGAAAATCTGAGATAACAAGGTGTAGAGCTGGATGAACACAGCAGGCCAAGCAGCATCATAGGAGCAGGAAAGCTGACGTTTCAAGCCTAGACCCTTCATCAAAACCTAGGCCCGAAACGTCAGCTTTCCTGCTCCTCTGATGCTGCTTGGCCTGCTGTGTTCATCCAGCTCTACACCTTGTTATTTTAAAATGGGGTCTGGATTACACTTGGCCCAATTGCCCTCTCAGCTTTAGTCCTGCTTCATTGGAAAACTCGACCCAACAACCTGTAAAATATCTTCCAAGAGGAACTACTGTATTAAAGTGGCTTGTTTTGTTTTGAAATAAGGATTATTAAAAATTGAAATTAATTTTTTTATCATCTGGTTTTTACATTCTTTTCATACAAAAACAATTCCAGTATTTATACCAGTTTGATTATTTATCAAACAGTATTCTAAACCATAATATTTTCTGACAGACTGATCCAGTTTAATGAAATAAAATGTGCGGAAATATAACACTGGCAACCTATACATTGAGTAAAACACATAAGAATCACAAACATTGATCAACATGACAATTCAAAATACGATGGTCATTTAAGGAAATCCACATAAGTGGGGCAGAATGGGAAGAAAAGTCATGGAACAAGATTTTATTCTGATATTAGAATTTTCCCTTTAATTCTCATTTGATAAAAATGTTAAAATGAGCAAAGGGGTTTCAGGTATCTTAGGATTTAAAGTTTTATTATTACATCTGTACTTTTTAAATAATGAATTTAATGGATGATTATACAATTGGCATTAGATCAACACCATAATGTAAATAATTATAATTCACATAATTATAATAACATTTGGAAAGTGTCTATTACCATGCTGTCAAATTGTACTTTTAATGAATTTAATGTAGTCTTTTAGGATTCTTTTATTTAAGGTTTTGATTCATTTTGAGGTCATTATTTTGTATATTAAGAGATTTTACATTTTTCCATTCTTTTAGAGAATCCAGTGTAGCTATGTTTTGCTGTTGGTACATTATACAACAGTACACAATATTAATTTTCATATTGTTAATTGAGAACTAAGAATGTTCATTTAGAATACTTCTCTCTCTTATGAGTGATAGATCCATCCAGTTGCAAAGTTACATGGTAGGAACAGCTTAAAACACAAGCTTCAAACATTTGCTTAAAAATACAGAAGATATGGTACTGAATGGAGGTTGGTAAATTAGTACATTTACTAACTTCAGCCAATTTTATGAATTTTAATATTCTGTATTATGCCAATTTTGAACAATGTAAAAATAGGCTGAGAAGATTTTTCTTAAACAGACAGAAATTTAACAGAAGTAATTTGCCAATTGAACTGTTTGCATAATAACTGCCACTAGCACTCACCTAAACAGTGTCAGCGAAGTTTCAACTATCATGATAATAATGGTTTGTATATATAATCCTGAAAGATTACAAAGTTGTTTGCCAGAAAAATGACAAGTTGAACTGTGAATACTAGACTTTTAGTCTTTATTCTCAACTGTTTGATAGGCATTTCTCAAAACCTTTCATAGACTAAACAGTTTTGAAGGCACTTAAACAATTCTGCGCATTATTCAGTCACATCTCCAAAAGACATCACCAGTACAGAAAATCTTCAACATTTATGCCTGTTTTTCTTGTGTATAATGGTGTCATGTGCAATTCTGCAAACTATTGCTTGAGTGCCCAATGAAGCCACCATTTATAAGTCTTTGTTGTTACACTGCACAATGAAACAGTGCAATTTGAGAAAGGGATTTTTCTTTGAACATGGTTCAAGAGAACGCTTTCTAATACAAGTCCTTGTATATTTCTTGCAGGAGTGGATGAAGACTCATTTCTGCCTCTGTTTTCCTGATAGTGTGCAGAAGCTGGACATGCTCAGTGACAATCTGTCTTAAATCTGTCATTTTTTGAAGTAGCTTTGCAAACAACTGTGGTGAATCTGGATGGTTTATCTTAAGTTGAAGGGCAAGTGCTTGAAGGATGCTATCTTGTAGTTCCTCAATTGGTTTAACATTTAGCAATCCAGGTCGATCTAGAACAAAATAATAAACTGTTTCATTTTCTGATCTAACAACATGTTAGACTTGTACCACACTTCTAAAGCAATAATTTCAGGGTGTCTCACAGTTGTGTTATGAAGTAGATTTAGAAATTTAGCAATATGTGGAGGTATTAGAAAAAGATGACCAAAAGGTTGACCAAACAAGTATGTGTTAAGTAAGTGTTAAGGGGAATAGAGATAGAGAGCCAGCTAAGTTTGGGAAGAATTGCCTGAGTTTAGTGTTGAAGCAGGTGAACTGAAGTACATTTTATGCGGATGTTTTATTTTTCAATGAATTTCAAAATTAAAACCTCAATAAAACCCAACAGTTCACCAAACTACTCAATATCAATTTTTATAAAATATAGCTTCAATTTCCTTTGATAGTTTAAAAATGTGATGTGCTGACCAGGGCTCAGATTTGGTGAAAATATGAATAGGAATGAGGAAGCTGACTACCGAAGGTTGACTACATTGATTTCATGATGTATATTCATTTGATATACAATTAAATTTGACAACTCTCCCAAGCAACTTTCTCTAATATCATAAAGCAGTTAGTTTTCAAAATGGTAATATTAACAACTGAAATGGACAGAGGAAAATATGAATCATCATTCTCCTAAAAAGCTCTAGTGGTGAAACATCTGTTTTAAAACTGAAACCCATATATACTTTGCATGACGTTATTCAGCCAAAATTGCGCAGAATACAAAAGGTGGACATGCTACATTTAAAGAGAATTGCAAAAGCAATTATAAAGAATTTCACTACACAAATTTTATCTTCCTCATATAATCTGCAACTAATCTGCTGAAAACAAAACCAGGGAATGTATGAGGTCTCATGCAAGCCGTCAGTGGGCAAACTAAGTGGAGGCTGAAAGATTTAATTTTGTGATGGTCTGCTGCCCGGAGCAATAAATCAGAAAATCTCAGCCGAGGTGTTGCAACTCTATCTGTGACTTTCGTTTGCAATAAATAACGAAAGAAATCCATAAAGTAATATGGGTGAACAAGGACCTAGTAACCAGTTCATAATTAATTAGTAACCGGTTAGTTTTGTTTGCATTCTTTGACAGTGGGTTTGTTCGTGATGTCGAGAAATATGTGATGAGAGAAATAGCCTTTTTCAAAATGAGTGGAAGTAAGGCTTCCTGCCACGCTCTAAAAACACATAAAATGACAATCAATAATCTGCTGTTTAAATAGGAACAGGAGTAGACCTTTCATCCCTTGAACCTGTTTCAGCAATTAGATCATGGTTCATTTATATTATGATCTATTTACCTACTTTAGCTCCAAGGGGGAGGCAGTGGTATTATTGCTGGACTGTTAATTTAGAGTTCTTAATATTCGAGGGACCCTGGTTCAAATCCAGCCATAGTAGATGGTGGAACCTGAATTCAATAAAAAATACCTGGAATTAAGAATCTAATGATGACCACAAATCCATTGCCGATTGTCGGAAAAACCCATCTGGTTTACTAATGTCCTTTAGGGAGGGAAACTGTCATACTTACCTGGTCTGGCCTACATTGGATTTCCAGACCCACAGCAATTAGTTGTTACACTCATCAGCAGCAATGTGGTTGATTCTTAACTGCCTTCTGGAAAATGTCTTTTTAAAGAAAAACTAGCACCAGGTAATAAATGCTGACCTGCCAATGACGCCCACATCCCACAAGTCAATAATAAAAATTTGTTGACCCAAACAGTCACTCTTGGAGTCTGTGCAGATATTAAACACAATGAAACAAAACCTTCACCAGTTGTTTTTTTAAAATCCATTCATGGGATGTGGGCATCACTGGACCAGCATTTTTGCCCATCCCTAACTGCTCTCTTCCAGAATTGCCCTGAGGGCAGTTTATAGTTAACCAGATTTATGTGGGTTTGGAGTCATATGTAGGTTAGGTCAGATCAGGTAAGGATGGCAGTTTCCTTCCCTAAAGTACATTAGTGCACCAGGTGCAATGGTTTCATGGTCATCATGAAACTCCTATTTCCAGATTGTTATTGAATTCAAATTCCACCATCTGGCATGATGGGATTTGAAACCAGGTCCCCAGAACATTACCTGGGTCTCTGGATTAATAGACTAGTGATAATACCACTAGGCCATCATTTACCCCTTGAGAAGGTGGTGGTGAGCTGCGTTCCTGAACTGCTGCAGTCCATGTACTGTTGGTAGATTCATGATACTGTTAGGGCAGGAGATTCATGATTTTGACCCAGTGACAGTGGAGAAATAGTGATATATTTCCAAGTCAGGATAGTGAGCATCTTGGAGGGGAACTCACAGGTGGTGGTGTTCCCATGTATCTGCTGCCCTTGTTCTTCTAGATGGAAGTGGTCATGGGTTTGGAAGGTGCTAAGGACCTTTGGCGAATTTTCTGGCACCAAATTGGGCAAAATCCTGTGGATGCTAGAAATCTGAAATAAAACAGAGAATGTGGAAAATACTCAGGAGGCCTGGCAACCAGACCAGCTGCGTATTTCTGTGCCTTGCCTGTTATTATTTCAAATTATGGTAATTTGTAACACAGCTCAAAATTGTGAAATAAAAGCCTTTCAAATAAACTAGCCTTGTTTGCAATACATTCATTTGGCAGATCTTTTCACCCTGTGGACAAAACAAATCTCTGAGTTACATGATTCTCCAATGAAAAATTGTTCAAATTGTATCATAATTTATGTATTTGCTAATCATCTTTCTTGTAATAGACAAGAAATGAAGAGGATCAGTTATCTGGGTGCCACCCTTATTTGGGACAAATTCACTATTCCTGTACCAGTTCTAACCATGAAGCTTGTGATCAGGACACCTAATATAGCTATTATCGTTGCTAGATTGTGATCAACATAAATTAGTTTAAAAAAAAGAAATTTCTGTGATTTTATCTGAATTATATGCCTAAATCCAATGCATTTTATCCGCTCCAAGAACATTTAAGCACAAAGATTTATTTCTCTGATTCAATGTGAACAGCCAACCTTCAGACAAGACTTTTAAAATCACTTGTTTTAGCAGGATGCTTGTCAAAGAGCTGGGCATTCAAAATAAGTAAATAAATTCTGATGGGAATGAATGTTTATGCCAAGGAATTTTCATGTACGTAGCACCATATGTTGAAATTACAGTTCTAATGAACACTTCTACACTCAAATAGGCAAAAATTTATGTCTGAAACTGCCGTTACTCAAACTTGAGTTGGAAAAGAGACCTTTTCACATGGAGCAGAAATGGCATTGTGCTAGTTTAGGTTTAGTATTAACTTCAGCAATTGCCATAAAACTATCAAGAAGACGATTCTCAACTATACTAATTCAGTTTTAGCAAGCTAGTTTCAATGCAAACTAAATCCTATTTATTTAGCTGAAAAATAATTCTAAAAATGACACAGGTTAACTATTATATTTTTAACTTTCAATTAAGTTTAACACATTGTCAATGTGGAGGCATTCTTTGTTTAATGCCAGTTAGTAAAGGCATGTGGTTGTAGTACAGCTAGCGGATCAAAACAATGTCAAACATTATATTAAAATAAATATTTTCATTTACATAGTGCCATCTTATCCTTAGCTATCCCAATACACTTTAAAACTGATGCTTTTAGAGAGGACATGACAAGATATCCTACTGGAATATTTGTACATAAAAAGAAACCATATTAGTTTAAATTAGGCCAAAACATTAACATCAATTTCATCCAAACATGAAATAATATTGAAGTTCAATGTTCCCTCTTTAGCCAAATGACTATCTGACCACAGAGCAACCAGAAGGACAGTCTGCTCTCAAGCCAGCCTCTTTGGGATAATAAAGTGCATGGCTACATGGTATAATTTAAAGGTACTGTACCCTGAAATAAACAGATTACAAACAACAAAGAAAATGTAAAGAGATCATTGATGAAATCCTCAAATTTGTGAGGATGAAGTTGAAATATTAAATCACCCCTCGGTTAAAACAGCAGACAATAAAAGTATTTAATTGTTGGCTAATTATTACACACTGCAATTTCATCCCCTTCAGCAAGATTCTACTTTGAAACAAATTAGTTACTTCAATACATTTTAAATTACTATATTTGACAGCAGAAAATCAGACTATTAGGATTCTACATCTGCTCCACCATCTCCAAAGAATAACTGTTAGCATGAGTTAGCTCAAGGGCCTTTTGTGGAAAATATTATTCTTTGAACATCCCTTATGGTTGATCAGGCTGAGAGCATTTACTCCAAGGTTAACACTTGAATAATGGTCAAAAAGCCAAGGTGCAAAATGCAAGCAGTAGCGGTCGAAGTGTTCCCAGCCAGGTGTCAATGCCTTCAGATGAGGTGAGAAAAATTGCTGAAACAGCAGACTTCAAGAAAAAAATGTACATTCATAAAATGTATTTTTTTAGCACAAGCTAAAGGTAGCATTTCTTACCTCCACTGAGTATGACGACAGCAATAAATATTGCGATGTCACAGTCGTTCAGCCCCAAACCATTGAACTTCATGGCAAATTCAAATTTGGGCTCCATGATATCACAAAAGGGTTTCCTTAGGCTTTTTAAAAACTCACGAGTCATGAAACCCTGGCCAGAGGCAATCAGAAGTCCATCTTTATTCATCAAGGAAGCCAACATACTGAATATGACCTCATGGACACCATATTTAAGAAGAGTCACTTGGTCATTTAGGTCAAGATTTATGAATCCTGGGATAGATTTTGCAAATTCAGTGATTTCCCTTACAGCCTCCACTGAACGGAATTGACAACGTTGGAAAATTCGGATTTCTACCTCTGTGTTCTGCTCTTGCAGTGGTGTTTGTTTGAATTTGATACGCTCTTCTCCAGCCTTTAAGGAATTCATGTCATAAATGACAAATGGCTATAATAAGAAAAATAAGTTCATGTTACATCAACGATAATACAATTTAGTTTCATTCATACACTATGTCAGGACTAAGACACAAGGCTTCAGATTCTTATCCGTTTGCATTTTTCTGAAGGAACTTTACAGGCTTTTCCGCTATGCTGCCCCTGTACTGATGCCGACTGACCTGTGGCCATTTAGTTATTTTGTGGCAGAACTTCTGCTCCTCACTTACTCAGCAGAGTTTCCTACTTCAGTGATGGGTCAGCCACTCCAACCAGCCAGCAGCTCTGTATGGTCCTGGCAGCAAAGCAAAAAGCAATAGCCACTGCCAGGACTACAGGCAGGCCCCAGCATTGAAGTCATACATCTAAATGGAGGCTAGTCTGGCAGTCCGTGGGAAGGGTTTGGAGGGGAGGACCTGGCAGGGTGGAGGAGGGGAGTGGAGGGAAGGACAGGACCTGGGAGGGTGGAGGGGGGGAGTTGGGGATCTGATAGAAAATCCAGGTGACTTGGGAGCAATCAGTAGGGAAGGGGAGACAGGTTTTGGGTAGTGAGGCACTATGTGGGAAGGGAGCCAGTAAGAAAGACATCTCCCCCACCCCACACAACCCCCCTCTCCACCAACCCCACCACCATCTCCCCCCAACCCCCCACCTCCACCACGCCCCCCACACCAATTCCTGCCTGAGACCTGAGCAGGGTCACCATCTCTATCCCTCAATGCCTTCTGCCACTAAAAAAATTGAGGCTAAACAGCATGGCGTGAGAGTGGCAGATACCAGTGTGGAGAAGGGGTTTGCATTCTGGCATAGGTGCTGGGATATAACTTGCTCAGACTTCAGCTGCTAAAAATTGATGTCACATAGAGGTTCCAATTCAACATAGTACCACAACTGGTGGTGTTTCTTGGGAGTCAGTCATCTACTGAGATAGGAGAATCTAATGGAGTTCAGCGATTTCTGGGAGGATATGAAGACCAGGTTACTGACAGGCAAGAGTTAGAATGTGATGTCAATAGCTAAGCTCAGCAAATCAAATGAAATACTGCTGAAAATTATAACATTCAATTTTTGTATCATCGAACAGATAGGAAAACGTACACACCGATTTGTCTCCTGTTTTTCCAGCCATGATTGCTCGAGATTTAGCTTTGGTAATAGGAAAAACCTTAATGTATGACTCAAACATGTGCTTGGCAAGAGCACGGAGATCAGCAGATTCAGGGTTCAGTTGTTCTGCATCGCTGGATATTTCAGCCAGGAGTTTCTCCTTTTCAGCTTGTGGCATTCTGCCAAATCTAATTGCTGTAAAATAAACATAAAAACCAAGGACAATTTAAAATATATTCTACGTGCTGTCATTAAATCACAGTCATAAAAGATAAATTGTAAGGTTAAAACATGTACTATCCATACTGAAGTTAGTGAAGAGTTTTAATAGAAACTATGATTATAAATAGGTCCCACTTCTTGAGTAGTTTTGCACATCAGTCAATATTTACTCTTTGTAGTTCTGATGTTTCTTAGTGTGGTGAATGATGTATATGGCTTGTATTCCCATAACCCCCGCAACAAATTTGGGGCAGTTTTACATTCAATGGGCCAGCCATTTCTTACAGTTGTCTATAGGCTTAATTGGGATATTGTGCTGGAATTTACTGCAAACATGGGAACCAAAAAGTATGGTGCCCTCTAAAGGGCATCTGGAGGTTGTGTGAATGGAGCAAGCAATTGTGTGTCTTCATAAGTAATTAAACTGAAGAATCATAAAAGGGAAGATATGATTGCCTCTTTCATGGCATGTTTGGTGGTATTGAGGGCATGTAATGAGTTGCTGCTTTCTTTGGTCACCAAAATTAAGTCTGAGGTGGGAAGGTCCATGGTCAGACTTCTAGCATTAACTGACCAATTAATGAATATATATGGAACTCATACCACCACCACTGGTGTTAACTGAGCTGCAGGCAGGCCTATTGCCATGCAGCATGAACAAGAAAAACTCTGTAAGCTGCTTGTGGTCTGGGAGAAGGGAGGTGGTGGTGGGCATTGTTCAAATGCATTCAGCACCTAAGTAATGTGTCCAGAAAATGGATGTTGGGGTTATTTGAAAGCCAGCCCTCTGCCCTTTCTGCTGATTCCTCTTGGCCATGACCCGAGAATCCCACATCCCCCACCACCACCCACCCTGACCATGGCCTATCTCTAGCTTGGGTCACTCTGTGATCCAGGGTCTCCAGCCACTCTCTTCATGGTTACATTGGTGATCAAAAACATTTGATTTGCCATCATCTCTCAGGGTTAGGATTCCTTGATTCTGAAGACGATCCACCAATGGCCACTGAAATGCTTGAGACCCACTTAATATCAGTGGTTCTTCCAGAAGGCAAAAGGAGTCTCTCACCTGTCAAGCAATACCACCCCAATGCCTTCATTAAAAATCACTCCCCACCCCCAAAATGACCAGTAAGAACTCTGAACTTGGAAGCGTAAATGCAAATTTTGAAATCAACATCTAACAAGGTGCAGACATAGAGGCAAAGGAAAAGTAAACAAATCTTATTTTTAAAAAAAAGTTTGAAAAAGAATTAAAATTGAGATGAATAAGACTTCACATTTAGAAATACCAGAGAGTTATCTCTAAAGTACAGTGTCCAGTTCTGGTCGCCCTGTTATAGGAAGGATATTATTAAGCTGGAGAGGGTTCAGAAAAGATTTACCAGGATGTTGCTGGGAATGGAGGGTTTGAGTTATAGGGTGAGGCTAGATAGGCTGGGGCTTTTTACTCTGGAGCATAGGAGGTTGAGGTTTTTAAAACCATGAGGGGCATAGATAAAGTGAATAACCGACGCCCTTTCCCTTTGGTGAGGGATTTCAAGACTTAGGAGCATATTTTTAAAGTGAGAGGAGAAAGATATAAATGAGGGGCAACTTTACTTACACAAAGAGTGGTTCGTGAGTGGAATGAACTTCCAAAAAAAGTGGTGGAAGTGGGTACAGTTACAACATTTAAAAGACACTTGGATAAGTACATGAATAAAGAAGGTTTGGAGGGTTATGGGCCAAGCGTAGGCAGTAGGGACTAGTTAAATTTGGGATTATGGTTGGCACAGACTGGTTGGACCGAAGGGTCTGTTTTTGTGCTGTAAGACATTATGACTTACCATGCTATTAATCAGGTATTTATATTGGAATGGACACACTATAGTGGCTTCTAGAAGAGATCTGTTATGTGAGAGAACATGGAAAGCAATAGCTTGGCTCTTCAATCAGATTAAAGAATCCTCACGCAGATCTCCAGGACCTAATTTTACTTGTGTAAGTGAATGGATTTTTAAGTGAGTTAAAACCTCCTGCATAGAATTAAAACAGGAAGTACAAAGCAGGAAGTAGATTTAGTTTCGTTTAAACCGAGGCAGAAAGCAAAATAAAGCATGATGAACAGACATAATTAACAGAAAGAATTAAAAGGATCGAATCAAATTTTGAAGGAATCCAACCTTATCAACATTCAATCTTCATTACCAGAGAGTTGTTTGGCAGCAATTACGATTTACCTATAATGATACGATGCCTGAACATATCAGTCCTACATTTTTCTGCTACTTTTAGTGAGTAAGAGAAACAAGTTTATGCAGTTTCAGATTTCAACACTAAATATCTCAGTGACAGAACACAGTTGCAAAATTAGCACAGAAGCATGATAAATCTGGCAGTAACTGTCAGATATCCATATTTAACTGCACAAATATGTTGTTAGGTTTATTTCATAATAATGGAGAGCACTGATATTCTCAATGCTGAGCATCGGTGGTAGAAGGAGTGGATGTTTGTGGTGCCAATTAAATGGGCTGCTTTGTCTTGGATGTTGTTGAATGTTGCTGGAACTGCAGTCATCCAGGCAAGTGGGGATTATTCCATCACTCTCCTGGCTTGTGCCTCGTAGATGGTGGACAGGTTTTGGGGAATCAGAAGGTACCCAAAGATCAGCAGCGTGAGGCTGAGGTACAACCAAAACAACTAGAAATCTTTTCAAATAACTATAAAGGTGGTGGAACTGCCCACAACCAAAAAATACAGGGTCATTGGTTTCAGCAATTCCTGTTAATAGATGTTTTAAGTAAGAAAGTACACGGCTGGGATCACTGTAGCAGGGTAGCTCACCTCCTGTCCATTTAGTGCAAGCACAAGATTAACACAAACGTTCTGCATTTGATGTTTGCCTCTCATCCTGACACAGGTTGCACTGTGAACATCCCCAATCACCAGAGTCAAAAAAAAAGCAGTCAGTCAATCTGGTGAGAACCTCTCCTTTTTTGCTTACAAACCTCTGTTGGAAAACCCACTTAAAAAGTTATGCCTTGTTTATTAAGATAAACAACCTGCGTAATAACCAGTCATATCAGCAATGTGATTATTCATCTAACCACAAAGATCCAGACCTGATTGACAGTTATAGAATCATTCAGATGTACAGAACAGAAACAGACCCTTCAGTCCAACTCAACCAGATATCCATGATAAATCTAGTCCCATTTGCCAGCATTTGGCCCATTTCCCTCTAAACCCTTCCTATTCATATACCCATCCAGATGCCTTTTAAAATGTTGTATTGTACCAGCATCTTCTTCTGACAGCTCATTGCATTCATGCACCACCCTCTGTGAAAATGTTGCCCCTTAGGTCCCTTTTAAATCTTTCCCCCTCACCTGAAACCTGTAATTGGACTCCCCCACCCCGGGGAAAAGACCTTGTCTATTTACTGTATCCATGTCCCTCATGATTTTATAAACCTCTATAAGGTCACCCCTCAGCTTTCGACGCTCCAGGGAAAATAGCCCCAGCCTATCCAGCCTCTCCCTATAGCTCAAATCCCCCAACCCTGGCAACATCCTTGTAAATCTTTTCTGAACCCTCTCTAGTTTCATAATATCCTTCCTATAACAGGGAGACCAGAATTGCACACAGTATTCCAAAAGTGGCCTAACCAATGCCCTGTACAGCTGCAACATGACATCGCAACTCCCTTACTCAATGCACTGACCAATAAGGGCAAGCATACCAAATGCCTTCTTCACTATCCTTTTTACCTGCAACTCCACTTTCAAGGAACTATGAACAAGCACTCCAAGACCTCTTTGTTCAGCAACATTCCCCAGGACCTTACCATTAAGTGTATAAGTCCTGCCCTGATTTGCCTTTCCAAAATGCAACACCTCACATTTATCTAAGTTAAGCTTCATCTGCCATTCCTTGGTCCATTGGTCCACCTGATGAAGATCCTGCTGTACTCTTGAGGTAAGCTTCTTCACTGTCCACTACATTTCTAATTTTGGTGTCATCTGCAAACTTACGAACGATACCTCCTATGTTTACATCCAATCATTTATATAAATGACAAAAAACAGTGATCCAGCACTGATCCTTGTGGCACACCACTGGTCATAAGCCTCCAGTCTGAAAAGCAACCCTCCACCACCACCCTTCGTCTTCTACCTTCAAGACAGTTCTGTGTCCTAATGGCTAGCTCTCTGTAATCTTGCTAAGCAGTCTATCATGAGGAACCTTGTCAAACGCCTTACTGAAGTCCATATAGATCACGTCCACCGCTCCGCCACCATCAATCCTCTTTATTACTTCTTCAAAAACTTAATCAAGTTAATGAGACGTTACTTCCCATGCACAAAGACATGTTGATTATCCCTAATCAGTCCTTGCTTTACCAAATACATGTAAATCCTGTCCCTCAAGATTCCTTCCAACAATTTGCCCACCATTAATGTCAGGCTCACTGGTCTGTAGTTTCTTGGCTTTTCCTTACCACCTTTCTTAAATAGTGGCACAACGTTAGCCAACCTCCAGTCTTCTGGCACCTTGCCTGTGGCTATTGATGATACAAATATCTCAGCAAGGGGCCCAGCAATCACTTCCCTAACCTCCCACAGAGTTCTAGGGTACATTTGTTCAGGTCCTGGGGATTTATCCACGTTTGTGCATTTTAAGATGTCCAGCACCACCACCTCTGTAATACGGACATTTTTAAGATGTTGCTATCTATTTCCCCACATTCTACATCTTCCATACCCTTCTCACAGTAAATACTGATGCAAAATACTCATTCAGTATCACACCCATCTCCTGCGGTTTCACACATTGGCGGCCCTGGTAATCTTTAAGTGGCGCTAATTTCTCCCTAGGTACTCTTTTGTCCTTAATGTAGTTATAAAATCCCTTTGGATTCTCCTTGACCCTTTTTGCCAAGACTATCTCATGTCCCCTTTTTGCCCTCTTGATTTCCCGCATGATTA